AAGGGGGCAAAAAAACCCTATAAAGATAAACAATCTGAAATTTTAAAATTAAAATCTGAAACTTTAAAATTAAAGTTCTTAGATTCTAAACCGAGCAATTACGTTGATGATCTGGAAGAAAGAATAATAAATTAATCTAAAACAGGACAAAACTAGTTTACATTTCTCCTTACATGTTCTCAGGGTGATTTAAGGGACAAAGTGCAGTCTGTGCCAAGAAATTCGTAATTTTTTTTATAAATTGGGGGAAGCTCTAGAGGGTATATAATGTGCATTTCATTAATAGCCGAAACTGCTCTATTTGGTCCATGCATGAGACCTTTTGCATTAACTAAATTTGATCCAGTTTTTCTGGGCACCACGCGTTCTTTTGGCATTTTATTGTCAAGTTTCAAATCAAGTACGTATGAGACACGGTTACACTACTCACTTTGAGGTGTTTGGTGTTTATTAGCTGTTTATCTTAAGAAAAAAGTTGCTGCATTGGTCTAATGATGTACTCAAGTGTCTAGGCTGTTGGGTAACTGACCACTTGGTTTGGGTTTACTAATTTTCATCCATTATAGTATTATACACATCTGAATATTTGCGGATACTTACACAGGCCATCTGGTTATCTAAATAGTGACAAGCCAACAACAGCTTGGTTTAATGGAGATGAAAAGAGCTAGTGTAGTTTTGCTTTCTTGTATTATCTTTCTATATAGCTAGTTATCATCTCTTGCATCCTGCATCTGTTTTCTTCTGGGGGACACAGGCGATGACTGTTAAGACGCTGAACCAGAAAAATAGGATCAATGTGTGTCTCCTAAAAGTTGGGAATAATGCTTGTTCATTCTTCTTAGTTTTTTCAACTTGTTTCGTTGTCAATGCTGAGGGTGAGAAAAATTCTGTCTTCTTATTAGTAATTACATGAAGTTCAGAGAGTTTCACTAATATTCACTGCATATATTTGTGACATATTTGTACTGTCATAAGCATTTGATGTGCTGTAGCAGTAAATTGTACTGACTAAATACTTTTAGGTGGTGCGGCATTTTTGGGAATGTAATGGCATTAAAAGTGCAATTGATGCAGTGGTGAAATTACCTGACTACTCTGTGGGTATTATTTCACAACATATATTTGGCTGTATTGTTTTTGGATTTGAGCATTTCCCTATAATTCCTACTGCTTTATTTAGATTTACATGTGCTATAAATGATCTTTGTCGTAAAATGCCACGTGCAGGTTCAGGTTGATGTAATTAGTGTTCTCCTGGAAAAAGTCGACCTCTTCACACTTGATATTTTCTCATGCTTGCTGCCTCTGCTTTTAGGCTTACTAAACAGCAAAGCTGACAGGTAAAATTGAAAGAAGCCCCTAACAGATGCATTATCTAAAAAAACATATCTGAAATACCTGATATTATATCAAATCATTACATAAAGAGGAGAAATTTAATGATTTTTTTCTTCCAAGTTTCTACAAGACTATTGCAGAACTGAAAATAAAATCTCAATCTTCTAGTGATTATGCTATAGATCAGCCCCGTGTATTTCATAAAAAAGGAACTCTTTATGAAATGAGGTTACAATGTTGCCTAGATTACTTTTGGAACTACAAATGCTATATATTTATGTATTTCCACTAACATATGTGTGGGTCCCTCTTTGGAAATTGTCAAAACAATTGCGCGTCACTCTTTTGTTTGTGGTAGAACACAAGTATGTGAGACGAGCAAAAGTTCATTATTTTATGTCAAATGGTACCTAAGAGGCCCAAAAAAATCCCTGTTGGAGTTATGGGATTTCATTCTTTTGCCATATTGTTAAATGGACCAACTCAAAAACAATTGAATGATGACACAATCCCTCCTAGAAGTATCTGTTCCTTTCATTTATGCCGTCCTTACTTTGTATCCTCTTACATTGTTTTTGTGTCCATTAAAATCAAGCCTACTGTGTAGACATTCATAAACTGATCTACCATAGTTTTTTTTGGATAATCCCAATCTGCGAATTGAGATGGTTCTAATGTTAACTTACCGGCTACTTGTTTCATGGCTTCAAATTGAGCTCTGCAAATCCTGCTCTGGAAACAAAAACACCTACATAAATAGCGGGTTAAAGTCCCGCATTGAATAAATCAGCGAAGAGGAATATTTGTCCATCTGAAATTACATTAATAGGAATGTAAGCCGAAATGTGTCCAAGAGGTTGGTTCACTTTTGGGCATGCTACTTTTGCTTTGCTCTTATCTATATAGAGTGGGGATGCAATTATTACCACTCTTATTTTTTTGGTGCTTCTCTTCCTTGCTCAGTTTAGCTCTGTAGATGAAACTATCTGGCACTACTTAATAACTCATGGCTTAATGGTCGCTGCATTACTGTATATGGATGGAGTTCCACTCGCAGCACATTAGCTTATAGTTCAAACTTGCAGGCATGTTACTGTCTCCTTGGAACTGCTGTTTGAGCTCGTTAAAAGATTTGGACAAATTATACAATCAACCATCTCAGCTTCTTCATCAGTAGGAGTTGATCTTCAGGCGGAGCAGAGGTATTCCTATCAATATGTTTTACTTGTTTGCATTAAAATAAAGGTTTTTTGGTTGCATGAATTGACCTTCATGTGAATGTGGATCACAGATTGGAGCGTTGTAAACAATGTTACACGTATTTGCTAAAGATAAAGCAAATTCTCTCCTTGCTTATCAGGTAAGAAATAGATGAAACAGCATATATTTTTTAAGTAATTCGGTAGAATAAGTGTTCCGAAGTAAGATGGCCTTTACTGTTTCTGTTTGTGTAGGCTTTGGCTTTGTTACTTCCTTTCAATTAAGCATGACTTATGATTAGGAATCAGTTGGCATACCATATTTGTACCTTTGTGTTGGCTAATATATCTGTTATCACTCGATTGAGTTGCAGAAAGGCTTGGTAGAATTGGTACAGGTGTTGCTATATGTACAATAGCAAAATTTTGGAAGTATAAATAAAAGAGAATAAAGATTGCGAAACAACAAAGAAAATGGGTCTAGGAAGGAAAACAATACAGGAAGCAAATACTGACAAAATCAAAATAATCGATACGACAAAAGTGAATTAGCGAGCGAGAAAACACATGCCAAAAAAATGAAATGGAAGTAAATTGTTTGAAGAAATAGTTGTGCCCAAGGTGAATTAAGTGAAAGAAGCCACATGCAGGAAGAGTACAGAGTTAATAAGCAAGGGAAGCAATTACGTACATGAAAGTGAAGAAAGAATAGAGTAAATATGTAGAAATAAATTTTAGGAAAATACATGTGCCATAAGGGCCAAGCAGGAGAATTTGGTTTCATTTAACTAAGAGTGGTCTGAATAGTGCTTAAATGCCTTACAGTGTCATCATCTTTGCACCTTACCCTAACTTGATTGTTATAGCACTTCTATACCTAAGTTGTTGACTGTTAGAATAGGAATAACGGCATTAAAATTGTCATGTAAAGTCCAGAACCCCCCTCTGTTAATATAAACTACCAAAGGTTAAAAAAACCCAGTTTCAGTTTTTACCTCTCTCTTCCTCAAAGATCAATAGCGCTCTAAATTTGAATGAATTTTCCTGTTCAATTGCGATTTAAACTGACGTGCCCATTGTGTGCAGTTTGGATTTTTGTTAATTTTTACTGGGTTTCAAAATTTTACATAAATATGACGAGCAAACAAACTTTATTTCTTCATGCATACTTGAGTTACGCCTGCTACAAAAATACTGAATTTACACATAACTTCATTTTTACATACTTCATTTCAAACAATACAATTTCAGCTAAATTTAACCACAAATACAAAACAAATAAGAACACCAAGCACCCAAAATTTTCTTCTACATAAACATTTTCCCAACTTCAATTTATCCTCTTTGTCTCTCAAATAAGCCTCATCTCTTGAACTTGAAGAACAACTAGAAGCTCAGGAGGCCGATTTCATCTTTGCCTGCAAAGAAATGGGGAGTACGAGAGAATTTGGGAATTTAGATAAAAAATAAGCTTAACAAATTAATAAATAGACTGGGGTTGTGGTACCCCAAATAGTCTCACATCGGGAAAACTATAGGACTTTGAATGGTTTAAATAGTGAAGTCAAACGGTTCAAGAGCAACTAGTGCTAGCACATTTTGGCAGTGGATTGAGTCAAACAATGAGTTGCTCTCAATGGGTCTAACAACTTATAGCGCGCCAATAGGGTCGCGGCATGACAAGGGTAAGTAAAACTGTAAAATATAACAATCAATGAGGGTAAAAGGAATTTAAAATTGGTATGTGACCAGCTGATGTGGATATGCTAAGGAGCATTCTCATGTTCAAGTAATAGGAGGCGCTAGCGTGTCATTTGTTGGGGACTGGGGAGTAATTACAATCAACCTAGAGTTAATGGGCCCAAAAGCTTAAGTTGTTAGGTATTGGCCTCAACTCCTATTTAAACCCGATTCTCTTTCTTATCCTATCCGATGTCCTCCTCATGACAAGCCAACTATTCTCGGATGTTACCGTATGTGGATTTTCCACCACACGTGCACTAAGTGTGTCCACAATCAACTTCTCGTCACCTTCAAGTGCACATTGGACTTCACTTTTGCTTAGGCCATAATCTTGGCTCTGATACCAGTTGTGAGGAGTAATGAGGCCCAACCTAGAGTTAATGAGACTTAATAGAGGCTAGGAACCAATTTTATCCCAAAAGCTTAGGCTGTTGGGTCCTCAATTCTTATTTAACCCACCATTTTCTTATCCTATCAATTGCTAATAGAAACCCTAATTCCATAGATAAGATAGCATGGGCTTATATAGGCCCTACAAACACATTTTACAAATAAG